AAACAAAGATTAATCCTGATGGGCGGGATGAAATCTGAAGATAATCTCTTATGTTTAGAAATCCATGTATTATTAGAAGGGTCTTTTAAGGCACGTAATGTAGGTCAGGGTTCATGGTTATGGAAAAAAATGATAAATAGGCCCAAACAAGTGTTTCAGGATGTTGAACCAATGATCAATTCATTCTGATGCTTTTAATCATGTCCTGCTCAAAATGTCTCTCTCTTGATGCTCTATGATATTCGAGTGAAGTGATTCGGGAATGATTGTGCTTGATCAATCTCATAGTTTGAAGCTTGATGTGCCATTTCAAACAAGTGTTTCAGGGTGTTGAACCAAGGATCAATTCATTATGATATCTTCAATCCTGCTCAAAATGTTTCTCTCTCTTGATGCTCTATGATCTTCGAGTGAAGTGATTCAGTGATTCAGGAATGATTGTGCTTGATCAATCTCATAGTTTGAAGCTTGATGTGCCATTTTTTAGGGAATCTTTGCATGTGTTTTTTGTCCCTTTTTCTTTTTGATTTTTGTTCTTGTTTCTTTTTTTTCTTTGCTTTTTTGCTTTTTTTCTTTTTTGTTATTGATTGGATCTTCGCACTTGCCATTTGGTCAACCTTTTGGTATCTCATCTGAATCAATGTCTTCGCTCTTGTGAGCATATTTCTTCCACCTTGCCCCCCAGTGTGGAGGGTGATCCTTGGTTAGGGTTTAATCAGAAGAAAAATACTACAGGCTCAAAAGGGGACACAAGGGATATATTTTTCCCCTGTTGTGAAGGGATAACGAAATAAAGACGTTCATCATTTCATACATGTAAATCTTCATAGAAGAGGTATCCCCAGGGGGATAGATTTTCAAGATTAATTCTATTCACATGAAAATAGTGTAATTAATGCATGATAGAATTATTTCGAATGAATTTTTCTTCTTCTTTTTTCTAGATGTCTCAATGTTCAGGCTCTCTGTGAGATACCCCAAGTTGGTTCTTCAAAAGAATGCTCATGTTAAAATGAACAACTCAATGCCTTGGGTTTTAATGGTAAGAAAGGTTAATTTTGAGTCTAAAAAAGACACTGGTGTGATCTTATTGACTCAAAGAAATGTGTGGGTGTATCAAAAAGATAAAGGTAATGTTCAAGAATTTCAAAGGGAGGTAATGTCAAAATTTGGTCTTTTTGGTAATGACCATGAGTTATTTTGGGTAAAAAAATCAAGGTATTTTGTTTTGGGGTTTGAGACATGATAAGAAAAGTCTAACCTTGCCATATGTCAAAAATCTATAATTCTTGAAGAATTAAAAGAATCCTTAATTCATTTAATATTCGAAGAACTAAAGATTAGAATTTGTTCAATTGCTCCACCTTAGAAAGTAGCATAAATTCAATCCTTTAAAAGATTAAGCAAACGATGAAAGATTAGAGACGTGTTTACACAAAACAATCCTCTAAGTGCAAATGGTATATGCCATGCCCCTTTCTTCGGCCGTTTATGCCCCTGAATCCATCAGGTTTTGGATCTTGCGCTTCAGTGCCTTATAGTTCTCAGAGGAATATTTGGGGCTTTTATGTGGTAACACCTAACAGCTTCAATATCGTAGTCCTTAGGATATGGGGATTCTTTTCTTAGATCATCCTGGCCAGCTTTGTCCTACCATCAGCTGATCAAGCTCTTTAATGTTACAATCTTGCTTCCATGTGGTTAAATCCACTTCATCGAGTCCTTCATGACTTAATTTCATGTTTGTGAAAATGCTTGAAAATGTAGATGAAGATGCAAAAAGGCAAAAATGCAAGAATGCATGAAATGTTCGAGGCATTGATCCAGAAAAGTGTTCATTATTATAAATAATCTTTACTTAGACAAAAATGTTTTATCTTGTAAGAGACATAAAAACGATCAAAGGTACATTCGGACTAAATCCTCTAGACCCCGAACAGCTTCTAGTAGATTGACAAGTCTTCTGTCTTCATCTATCACTGGTTGTATGCCTTGTCGGACCATTCCAGCTTCCTTTGCCAGGCCGTGTAGATGACGAGCTGCCTTCTGTACTTGATCCAGTAAGTCTCGGATGACTACGTCTCTGGCCTTCACCCTTTGTTGTGCTTGCTCCCAACGGAAACGCCACTGTAAACCTCCGTCGAAGAGCACTATCTGAAGCTCGCTCACTTTCTTCTTGAACCCATCTACAGTAGCTTCTAACTCAGCTATTGTTTTGTCATCTATCTCATGTTGTTTCTCCATATTAGCCATCTGGATTCTCAAGCATTGGTTTTGATGCTGACTGTCTACTAAGCGCCTCTGGGCAATCTTCATCTGTTCCTTCCAAGCTCTCTCATCAGGCCCTTCGAACTTTCTTTTCAGGCTATGAGCTTTGTCTTTCCAGTATTCAGAAGCCACTTTCAACTTGGAGTTATCCTTGACTTTATCTTGATACCCATTTCTCAAGTCTTCGAGCTCAAAACAGATTTTTTTCTGTTCTTTTTCAAGTTTATCTGCTCGATCTTTCTGAGAGTCGACATCTAGCTTCCACTGATAGCGCTCAGCTTCAAGCTCTTTTACCCTCAACTTCAGCTCGTTATTCACAGCTTCAAACTCTATCTTGGCTATCTCAAGTTCAGAAAAGACGGGCCTGAGATGTTCTTCCAGGGTTCAGGTATCCTCACGGTCTGGCACCGGGATATTGTCATTTTTTCTCAATCTTCGCCACTCCACATAGTCCGGAGTAAGCATGTTTCTGGTAGCTACAACATCCATCCGAAATACTTTCTTCCATGAATCAACTGCTTCCTTGATCATCTTCTTATAGTTGTCACCGTGATACTCAAGCTCTGATTTAGCTAGTCCGCATGTTGCTGGGACAAACTGGCGTGCCCCATAATGTCTAAGTGCTAACAATGGAGCATACCCAACTGTATCCCAAAGTTCAGGTAAGGTCATAATGTCAGAGTCCCCATATTGGAAAAACACGACACTGAGGAACAACCATGGGGCTCTCCAAGTAATATCTCGGTTTTTATAGATGAGTGAAGACTTTCATCCACTTCTCTTTTGAAATTCCTTCATGCCATTTCATGGTGATGAACTCTCTCAAAGGTGAATACGTAGTGCTAAATTGGCGGTAGGTAACCCAATTAGTCTTCCAGAAGTGGCTGTGAATCCAGACTTGAAGGAGCTGAACACATCCAATGAATCTACCTCCGCCAACTCTTCGGCAATGGTTGAGAGACCGAAAGGTCTCGGCTAAGATGGTTGGTACTGGGTTGACTCGTTTCGGAAGTTACTCAAACAGTTCCACCACGGCTGCGTCAATGCATCCCAAAATCTTCGGAAAGATGATCAAGCCATACATACCTAGTGCAAAAAAGGTTTATAGTCTTCCATTCATCAGGGTGGTCATTCTTTAGTTTCCTTATGTGGATCCATTGAATTCCTTGCCCGTTACCTTTGTTTCGGAGTCGGTCAGTCACCCACTTTTCATCAACTCCTACAATCTTAGCCAATCTGTTCTTGAAAGGCTGACTCTTGATGTGTTTGATGTAGGCTCGCTCCAGTTTAATGCTTTCACAATGTAATAGTGTAGTATACTCCTCGATGGTAGGTACCATGTCCTCTTGATTAAAAGTGAAGCAATTGTATCCCGGGTTCCAGAATTGAACCAAGGCTCTGATTAAGGGATCACCGGTCTTAACATGAAGCAAAAGTGCAATGTCACCATACCGCTGACTGAACTTCTATTTTCGATCATTCTTCCAACTGTCCCAGATGTCTCGAAGTTCTTGCACATTGTTCTGTTAACAAGCTCTGACACATAACTTCCTTAAAGATTGTCTCTCTTTTCTTTCTGAGTATTCTCGGACCATAGGCGTACCTCGGGGTTTTTAATCTCCTGTATTACAACACCTTTGTCCATTAATGCAGATTATTTATGGTTAACGAACACGTTTTTTGGTGGATCAATACCTCTTTTGAATGATGAAGATGATGGAAATAAAATAAAAGAGATGAAAAAAAATGAAAAGAGTTAGTAAGGTAAAGATAATAATCAAAGCAATCATGAAAATAAAAGTCCTACCTCACATGATATCTACCCCACATGCTTATTATTCCTACCCGGACATGATCTCTATCCCGCAAGTTGATTTTGAACAAGTCCTAACCGCATAAATTTCTAGTTCATATGTTTTGAACAGAAAGTAAAGCAGAAAATAATTTAGGTATCCTAGGGTTTAAAATGAGGTTTTGGGGTGGGCCCTAACTTCTTGTAGTCTCCGGGTTTAGGTTCTAAAAAAAGGTACTCGAGTTCTCCTTGCCGGTGCCCCCTTGGGCTTAACAGACCCTTAGTCTTAAACCCATCACAGGCTTGTGTGGACTAAGTTAAACTCGAGAGAAAACATTCTCTTATGCCCATACGGAGAATAAATTCACACGAAGGCATAAGGTATATGAATCCCGAATATTACTTGCTAGGCCCATACGATGAATAAATTCACACGAATGCGTCGCTTTCACCCCCACTTAAAACGGGTTCGGAGCTCGGGTATAGAGCCTTTGGATGAAAAATCCTTAAGGGTTGAAATCATTAAAAAACGGACAGTACAACTATTTACTCGAAAATATAATCAAAAGTAAGTAATAAGGATCGAAATATTACCTTAAAATTTAAACTTACCCTTTTCATTAAAAAGACAACTGGAAATTACCTTAGCCTGACTCACTTACCTGTGTCCCCAGCGGAGTCGCCAAGCTGTCGCAACCGTCTTTCGATTGGTCCCCGGGATTGGGCTTCGACTTGAAAAATGTGGATTGGGAGTCGCCACCGATCATTTATTTAAAAATAAATGGGTTGATCGGATACCCTATTTCTTACCTGATCTACGTCTTACCAGAAATATGTCGGGCTCGGGAGTCGGTTACGGTCAAGGAATGATTAGCACCCTTGAACCGCCCTTTCGGTACTACGTAATTTCCCGTTGTCTTAATTAAGAAAATTGTAATTTTAAATTAAAAGGTAAAATTTGATAATGAATTACTTACCTCTGATTAATTGACGAAAATACCATTAAAAAGTCATAAGATGTGTAAGAGGAAAAAATGAAAAAATGAAAAAATGAAGAATAAAAATAAGTAAAAAAAAATAATATATATATATATATATATGAGTAAAATAGAAAAATAATAATCATAACAATAATAATAGTAATATGAAAATATAATATAATATAAAAAAACCAAAACCAAAAATAAATAAATATATAAACCAAATATAAAAGTATACATATAATGATAATTGGCTTATAAATAAACTATTTAAAACATACATATATATGTATAATGATAAAGTAAAAAAAACTAAATAAAGATAATTACAATATATATACATATATATAGTAATAATACGCTTATAAGTAAAATATTTAAATATATATATAAATAATAAATATAGTATTAAAAAATAACCAAATGAATATAAATAAATAAAAAATATATGTATAGATAATAATAGGACTAATATAAAGAAAAATAAAGATTGGGGTCAAATTTGAAAGACAATTAACGTTGATATTACGCATTAGGGAGATAAAAAATGAACACGCCTCGGGTAGATCTAGGTTTGAAACTTCGAAACCCCACCCATTTTTGGTCATCGGCGCAACCCACGTTTTGGGTTATTCGAACCAAATCTCAAAAAAATAACGTGCACATGCGAGAAATGAACGAATAAAAAAATGCTACCTTTTATTTCCTTTTCGAATCGTTTTCAATAGCTTTGCCTTTGTATTTTCCTTGTTTTCCTCTGTATTTTGTCTGTAAATCCTCTCTTGTAATAGTGAGTTACAATGGCTATTTATAGTGCTTGTGGATCATATCTTTAGGAGTTTAAATCATAGTAGAACTCTATCCTATTTTTAGGAGTTTGAATCCTAGCAAAATTTTATCCTATTTTTAAGAGTTTGAATCTTAGTATGACGAAAATGTGTGTTGACATTCTCTTAAAAATATTATATTGATTTTTTAGTATAATAATTAATATAAATATAATAGTAACTTGTAATTACTTTATGTCAGAATATAATTATTCAACTATTGTTTTGATTATATGGACTCGTTTGGTGTGACAATATCACATTTTGTGATTAAATTGATAATTTTTTAATTATTGTTTAAATTTCTTAAATTATTTAAAATTAAGATAAAATTAATACAATGCGAAAGTCACTACATAAGTAAACTGCGGTAGGAATCAGATCTACGTGGCCAATTCTGGTCCGTCCATTTTGTCACCTCAGAAAGCCACCGCACATCATCTCTTCACCGTGCCGATAAAATGGCCTCGACCGTTCCTTGGTCTCTTCGTTCGGCATGATGTCCGCTAAAACGACAACAAAGCCTACGCGCTCCAAAGGCGCGTCAAACGTTCGAAACAGTTGGAAGTGCAAGCAGCGAAGGCAGGCGGTCCTAACTCCGAACATGTTCAGTGACGTAGTGCATGCTTCCGGTGGGACCGATCTAGTGCCACGTCAGCATGAATTAGATCCGTTGATCCGAGGGGGGACGGTGGAGATGCCTTGTCTAGAGAGCTCAGCTATCACACTATCAGTAGAAGGTGGGTTGAGGCCCAAGGGCAAGGGCAACCATGGCTTGTTTATTGCTTCTTTCACAACCTCGTCGATCACCTCCTCTGCCTGCAATGGCACTCAAACACATACAAATCATTATTGCTATTCACTTTAACTGACTTTTTCGAGCTCGATTCGATATATCTTCTAATGCAAGAAACATTGTGCTATTAGCGTGTTTGAATGTTTCAGGCTAAAATGAAATCCATAAGAAAGAAACATGTTAATTACCGGCTGATGTTCAACAGGACTTCGAGGCATGCCACTGTTATCCGTGGTGCTCGAATAATGAATCCATGAGCATTCTGCATATTCTTGAAAAGTTGAATGCCAGAAACAGGATTAAAATGCTTTCATGTGCTTCAAAGACTACCAAGAATATTTCAACTTCTCCGAATTACTCACTTGATTGTTCCGAGCAATGTCCCGGAGGTATGGGTATAACAGGGCAACCCAATGCTTCAGCATGCATCTGAAATGTAAAAAGTTCATGTATCATCTCTCTCTCTCTCTCTCACACACACACGTAGATATGTAGGTTACTTTGTTTCTGCTAGCATAATAACAGTAAACTTACCCCTGGATAGGGCTTCCAATGCCGGGTTTCAGTTGGTTGCCACGGGCAGTAACCTTGTGAGCCCCATGACTGGATGCTGACCGGATGAGGTGTTCCCCACATGGGATAGAAAGGACTGACAGGGACAACATGATTGGAGGGACACGGAGGGAAGGCCATGATCGGTTTATGTGGATAACAACTCCTTTGTGTTTGATCTCCTCGTGGCCATCTTCGATCAACTTCCTTAGGTAAGATGTGTCTCTTATGCATTCGATGCTTCTGCTTCACAAACAAATGCTGGCTTATTTGCTCGGAGCAAGAGAAGACTTGCTTCACAAACTTAATAGGGATCGAATTTCAAACAAGGACAAGCAATGCAAGACACACACTGAATGAAAGCACTATAACTACAAAATCTGATCGAGCATCTAAAAGGCTAAAATGTCTCCGACCTGGAGATGACTTGCTACATTGTGCCTTGTCAATCCTTCTACCTTCATCAGCTCTAGTATTCGGGAAGGTATGGCTTGATCTATCCCGAGTTGGTCCACAGCCTGGACAAATTTCTTGTGCAGTTCAGTTGTCCAGTCTACCTGGAAACTCAAAACAGAAAACATAAAGCGAGCGTTAATAGAAACACACAATGATGTAAAGAAACCGGAAGTATTGTCCAAAGGTGGTTGGTAAATGGTTTTCAGAAAACGTCACAAAATTTTAAAATCTAAAACTTATCACTCAAGGCTTTGATTTTGAACACAACTCTAGTGGAACTGTGTAACCTTGTGATGGTAACTTAGCAATTAGTGAATAACCTCATTAAAAGCATGTTTTCTATGCCTGTATAGCGAAAAGACTGCCTAGGACAAGTGCATGATACGATGCCAATTAAAGGGAATGTTACCACAAGTCAGTACAGTTCTATACACTTTAAACTTGTGAAATATTGCCAAGAGAGGATGAATATGAATGAATATATCACAATCCTTAATCATAGGATAGTTTAACTATAAGTGGCATTACCTTCAATTTTTTTAGATTAGCTTTATTCGGACCAGAACTATGAAGACCAGACACGGTATTTGGCCTTTTGGCACCAGCACGAGAATCTTGGCTGTTTACTCTATCTTGAGGATGAGATTCCACAATACGCTCACCGTTGGTATCATTGACTAAGTCATCCTCCTCTTTTACCATAGTCTCCCTTTGTCCCTGTGGTTGGTCAACTGGCGCAGTTAGTTCAGCAACTACATTGCCACTGGTAGTTTCGACAAATTTTGATTCTCCATCCGGCTCCCCACTCTCTTTTTCAGTTGAGCAGTTAATATGTTCTTGGCCATCTTCATTGACTAACAATCTTCCACCCTGTTCTAATTGTGGTGTTGAAGGAGCCGGGTACTTATTATTTACTGCTGATAGTTCACAGTCATTTTCTTGAACCACAGATGCATCTTCTATTTTATCGGAGTGCTCATGCTTAGGTTCTCCTTCCGATTGCAGATGCAGTATAGAAGCCACAGAATCTTTAACAGGCTTTAGTGGTTCAGAAAGGTCATCCCCCCCTACACTAAATGCCTGAGAAGGACTAATCAAATGAGAATTTCTATACCATAGTACCATGATTGCCATTTATATGTAAATTCAAGCTGTAATACAAGAGAATACACACCGACCTTATGAGCTACGTGCTGCCATATATTCCTTAGTTTATCCTCGGATAGTGGTTTCCTAAGAAACTCAACTGCGCCAAGCTGTAAATAAGTTGTGAAACATGCATTAGCTGTTTGCAATTATGGGGTGTAAGAATGAACTTAAGCACTGAACTTCAACTGAAAATTCCTACGTTTCATCTGTGGAAGAAGATGAAAATATTACAGCAATTAAGAATCTAAAACTTTTGAATTGAAAACTTGAACATACACGTATGCGCCTGAAAATAAATGTAAAACTGTTTAATAAATGGTAGGAAGGAAAAACATCTTACAGCTATGCACTTCATCATCGTGCTGATACAATGAATGTTCGAAGTCACTGAAACAAAAAGGATTTAAAACAGCATTAGGACTCGACAATGCGCCCAGCAACTTTGATTACAGTCATATGGATGCTAAAGAGAAAGGTCCAGGATGAATAAACAAAGTTTCATCTAAAGTAAAGATCTCAGGCAAAAGCAGGACAGCTTTCCTTTCTGAACTTACTAATGGTAGGCAAGTCCTTAGCAATTTCAAGAAACTTCAGACCCCCATTGTTACTGCTTGTACCGACCTGTGATCATACACACCGTTAAACTGCATTTCTACAACAAACACAACACGGTTATATTCTTTGTATCTCGGTATTGATTAGAAGAACCATTCTATGTTTAAATGGTATAAGTATATATAAGAGCAGGCTTGTCTAAAATTTCTGGTAAGTTATTGCTCTAGTGCCAGTATAATAATGAGAAAGACTGTAATCATGCTGAAGGTTCAATTCAGCGCGCTTATGGAAGATCATCAACGTTTCGCACATTGCTTTTTAACTAGTTCTTTTATCCTTAGTTGAAATTTGTTGTCGAACTCAAAATTCTCTAGTTACCTCTACAATGGCTACATGGAAGCTTTCGGGTCTACTTGAAACTGCAGAAAGAGCTTCATTTTCGTTGCAGAAGGAATATACTGCAATAAGGCACAATAATTTTTATCATACATTCGGAGAGAGATATACAGAGAAAAATTAAGAGATACAATAGCAGGTGATAAAAATAAATGACATATTGATGATACAGGAGATCACTGTGAAAACACAGTACGAACACAATATTTAAGCAACACTTACTCAAGGGAGCTGCAGAAAAACGGTGTCATTGAACTAATAGTCTGAGAAGCTATATGTAATCCATAGCTTCAATCTTTGATTTTAAAAAAACTAAGAATTAAAAGTGGTGGACTCTGACCTATATAATCCATAGCTTGAAGCTTTGATTTTATCTCTGCAGAAGAATCGTTGTCCTCATCAAGGAGGAGGACCCTGAGACCCTTTGGGAAATCCTTCCATTCTGATAAATCATTTCTAGTGCAAATCATAGCTGGTTTGGCATCCTTTCTCAAGCAGCCACCAAGTGTTGCAAATTATTGCTTATTATCATCATCAGATTACCTCTGCAAGACCACAGGAAATTCCCCATTAAAAAAAGCTTACAACTTGTCTAATAATCAAAACTGGTTTTCACCAAAGAAATATATATAATATATACAGTTTTAGTGAGTGAAAACGTTTTGGAGAGACTCCATTAACCAGTGACAGTGATGAATACTTAATGGAGTGATAGCATAAATGAAAGAGAAATGGAGAAAGATCTTCGTGTTATATCAGAACAACCCATGTAAGATCTCGTAAAATTCATTAGAAAATAGCCAAAATTTTGGGATAAAAAAAAGCATTTTGAATGGACATGTGAAACGTTTCAAAGTGAAGTACCAAAAGGGTAGATTAAAAGAAGATAAAACAATGCTAAAAGCACATTTCATGCATGCAAAACATCAAAGCCACCATTCTATGCGAAAACGAGAAAGACCCGCCTTTCTTTTTCCCTTTTCTGATATGCAAGAAACGAAGTTTGCATGCAGCCAAAGATGATTAGCGATTAGCAGGAGGGGGAAAAAAAGAGGGAGAAAAGAACCCAGAAAGAAATTATTGAGGACAGACTATATACGAGTTTAGGGGGTAATAAGGATTAGAAACATAGACACCTTTGGCAAGGGTAAACTACATAAATAGTTAATTTATAGAATGTTGTTTTATTAAGTTATTGATTGTAGAGTATTATTTTATTGAATCTTTTAATTATTAAAAGTTACAAAATTATCATTTTATTATACAATATTATTTTATTGAGTCTCTTAACTATTAAAAATTATAAAATAGTCACCTGACTATTCATATATCCTATATTCATCATTTATTTGTTTAAAATTGATGATAGTTTGAGCTGAAATTAATCTACTGACTCTGATATGATAAAATTTAATCATAAAATCTCAAATGACTATCATATATTAGTCAACGTGTTAACTATCATCCAGGGCCGGTTTTGGGCCTGTGCGGGTTGCCCAACCGCACAGGGCCCAATTTTTGTAAGGGCCTCCAAAATTTTTTAAGCCTTTTGTATGTATGTGTATTTAGAATATTTAGCCCAAGAATTTTCAAGTCCAAAGCTTATTTTATTGTTATGATATAGGATCACCAAATTTTGAAATATTAGTGAACTTCTTTATATATTTAATATTTTAGTTTTAAAAGACCTATTTTATTGTTATGGCACAGGGCCACCAAAATTTACAAGACGTCCCTGCTATCATCTCAAATTGTTATCATTTTTAACGAAAAAGACGAGTTTATAACATATAAATAGTCACTTGACCATTTTGTAACTTTCATTTAATAAAAAAAAATATTTAATACTTTTTATTTTTTATTCTTTTAATTATATTATACTTTCAAATTTATATTTATCATACAATCTAATTTTATCAAGCATTTAAAAAATAAAAAATCAAATAAATTTATAATTTAAATTTTATCAAGACTTCACTAGATAAAATGATAAAAACATATACATTTTAACTATTACATTACATCATATTATATATATTTTTGGTATAACCACCTATATCTGATTATTGATCGATTAATATGGATCTGATACTGCAGAGGTAAGAGTGACTATCCCAACCCAGTTTATTTCATTCAAAATAGTCATGATTCGAATACTTAATTTTACTTAAAGAATCTTGTGTTTCATCCCACTAGACTAACTAGTTGTTGGTGTGTATATATAATTCCATTTATATATCATCATAAATTACATGTATGAACATGAAAACAATCTCTTCAATATTTTAGCTTTTATTCTATTGTTATTATTGCCAACAATTTTTATCATTACTTTTGATGAAAAAGGAAAAAGGAACATTAACTTTTAATTAATGTATTAGGTAAAAATAATAATATTTTATGTAATTATTGGACGTTTTATCGGATTTGATAAAGCGTTATTGTTTTTGTTATTTTTTATATTAGTTTTGTTATTATTAGATATTTTTATCAAAAATATTAAAAAAATTGATGTATTAGATAAAAATAATAATATTTTAAATAATTTTTTTACTGATTTTATTATTTAAATAATAATAAAATCGATAACTTTTTATTTTAACTCTATCATCTTTATTCGTGCAAGTAATAATTGCCATAGCATTGCTTCCTTTATTGGAATCATTGCTGACTCAAGTACTTCACCCGTCACTTTGTATGTTTCTCTTTGTTAACGAGAGCAAAATTATTATATTATTGAAATATACTCTTCTATTAAAATATGGCTAAACATTAGAAATACACGATTAAGTATTATATTAAATTACGAGGACCGTTGAAACTCCCTCGAATAAGTATTCCAACGTTGAGTTTTACAAGCTTGATAATGCATACACTCGACATATACAACATGCAATGCAAGTGAGTTAAGCATAAATATGACATGAGACATTCAAGGTATGTGACAAATTTCATATCACAAAAGGGTCACATATTTGTATCACTTACGTTAGATGCTTTCATTATGGCAAACATATAATAAATTCTAAGTTGTACAATTGATGGAAGATCCAGGGTTCGATGGTGGCTCTCTTTCATTGTTTTGGGAAATATTTAGGTTACAAAAAATATATTAGATATCTAATATGATAACTAATGGAATGGCCGAATCGACAGATTTTGAAAATAGTTTAGTGACTAATGAACTAGTTTCACAATTTTTATAAAGAGTAAGGATCAAATTATAATAAATTAAAATGAAATAATTAAATTCTTTTACCTCATTAAATCGAAAGAGAAAATTCATAATTAAGTCAATTTCTTTACGTGCCATTACAATCCAATACAGACACATGTTGAGTATGATGGGTGAAATCAAATCCAAATCGTCAACAATTTTCTTGACGGAAAATTCAAGACTAATCGAGAAAATTGTGATTAAATGGACAAAACTTAGCCTCAATCCCTCTTTCCTTTCAATCATGAATTAATTTTGAAAAGACATGGTATAATAGTATACTATGGATACAGATATACTTAGTAGAAGACGAAAATAAAAAGAGCTGAAACAGTGAAAGCCGTATCTAAAGATAGCGGAAACCCCACATGATCAAAGGGATAGATCTTTTTCTCCTATTCTTTTTCAGTCTAACTTTTCACTATTGTTTTCAAAACTCCAAAATTGGGGCTTGAGAGATAGTGTTCATGATTTAGGCAGAAAGACATCATGGGTTTCCATACTTTTTTTTGGTATTTATATATTATATTTTCTGCTCTCTAGTTTAAAAATAAATTTAATGTGATCATTTGATCAATGTTTTATCGTCGTTGATCGTTACGGTGCTGACATGATAGTCCACGATGCTAATATGACAGCCCAAGGTAGCAGACTAACATGACGGATGACATGACAAATTGATTAAATTGATAACTCAAACATGACAGATGGACTACCAATAGGGATGACAATTTCACCCGCCTCCGATGAGTTTCGACCCAATCAGGCCAGATTTTTTTAAAACAAATTTGGGTTCGGGTTCAAGCGGAGGGTGAAAAAACTCCAACCTAACCCAACCCTAGGATAATAATTGTAATTTTTTTTAAAAATATTATTTTTAAACTAATCTTTAATTTTTAGCTGGTTGAATTTATACTTTAAAAAATGAGTTGGATCGGATTCGGGTGACGGGTTCATATTTTTGAGTCAAATCTAATTGCCTAAAAACCTGACTCATTGTCATCCCTAACTATCACGTTAGTATCATAGACGTCATATCAACACCGTAAACTGACATGCTATTATTATAACGGTTAATAACGAAAATCGTTAATCAAAATATTATATTAAATTTATTTTCTGAATTAAAAAATTACTTTAAAATAATAATATAAAGATGACGTTAATTTTTTTTTCAGAACTACATATACCTCTGATTTTTTTTCCTCTAAGTTAAGACGTACATCCATCCCAAGCCACAAATTGTGTTAGCGTGGTGCCCATATTATGTTTCTTTTCGTCTCTTTTGTTATTTGGTAGCAGAGGCAATCTAACATTTCTTCATTTTAATAATGTTTTAAGGTGCAAAGTTGATAATGCTTGATAATCATTGCTGCAGGCACCGACTGGAGTTGGATTTTGACGAGGTCTTAGTGACATCAAATCAGAATTATTGGTGTATTAATCTGAGAACTCCCCATGTTCATTAACATATAAAATATCAGAATTGCATGTGTTGGTACTTGAATATTTGGTGAACGTGGAGTCTCTATCATCCATGTACTTTGCCTACTTATATACCTCAAGATTCCCTCACTCTCCTGCTGCAAACAGAAGATGAATGCTCAACTTTTGTAAAACAGGACTGAAGCCCATAGGTTTAAGGGGTTTTACCGATAATTTAAGTACAAAACGCGTTAAGTTTTTAACGATAGATACTAAAATGAAATAAAATTAAAATTAATATAATTTTTAAAAAATAAAAATTTAAGTACTAAAATTGATCAAAATTAATAGTTTAAATTCGAGCAGCTTACCCAAAATTTAAAGATATTTTGTTATATATGGAAAACAAATTATTATTCTCACCCTCACTAGAATAGCACTTGTGTACGTTCTCTTTCTTTAAATTACTAGTGATAATTTTATATGAATAAGGTTTAAATTTATTTATTTTAAATGTTAAATACGTGACAAATATCGTGTGTAATCATTTTTTAATAAATTTTAAACTTTTTATCCAAAGGAGAGTTAAAAAGGTACTCTAAGGAAAGGAAAATGAATATTCTTAGCGGGTCTAATCCTAGTTCTAATAATGTTGTAATTAAGTTTTGAGTACAAATAGTATAAAATATTTGAATAATTATAATTAATAATTATAATGTACAAAATGAACAAACTTAATATATACACAGTATACGATCTACAGTTTAACCAAAGATTTGTTGGCATAAAATTAAATCGTTTAAACCTCCATATTCTTATTAAAAAAATAAATGTATGCGTAAAAGAGTAAATATATGAATTTAATACTCGGGTTTTATGAGGAAATTCCTTGGCATTGGATAGGATACAAGTGTAACAGCGTATGTGTGGAGTAGGACTGTAAATGAGACGAGATTGTGAGTTTATTTAAGATTGATTATGTCAAAGTTCGATAAATATTAAATTCAAATGGATTCGACTCGAGTTATAAACTAACCGAAACGAGTTATTTGATACTCTACTTGAAAAGCTAACGAGTAACTAATGATATTATTTTTTAGAAAAATAAATTATTAATAATATTAACATTTATACATTGATATTTTAAAAAATGCAGTATAAGGTTTTTATGTATTTAGGGTTCAAGTTCGAGTTCAAATTTGAGCTTCAATTAAGTTAAGTTTAAGATTTTTTTTTTATTTTGAGTTTTTACAAACTTCAATTCATGATTTCGAGTCGAACTTAAAAATTCTAGACTCATGAGTTTTTAAATCGAATCAAATTCTTTTTTTAAAATTTTAAATTGAGTCGAATTTAACAATATTCAAATTCGACTCGACTTGTATCCTAGACGGATGAGTAGAGGGATAATGAAAATCATGTAATGTGTTGATCTGAACGAGTTGGACTCATTGACAGCTCTGCATGTACGAAATACCCTACCACTGCCATTGCCATTCTCCAAATCACACAGATCAAACATGTGAACAGCTGCCTTGTACATTTGTGCTGATAGGTCACTGTGTCCAGGGATGGATCCAGCGGGTAAGGGCAATCGACTCTTTAAAAATTTAAAATTATTTTATATTTTAATTTTTATATATTTTCTATTGAAAATTATTTTTATCTATTAGAATTTTATAAATTCAAGCTCCAAAGTTCAAGTTTATTCTCTAATGCAAAATCTTGTGTCTGTCCATAATTACGTCGGCCACCCATCGATCACCTGTTGGGCCTAATGTTTAAACACCGATTAGGCCTTTAAATCTCACCCGATGTAACCCTAACACTGATTAGTTAGGCAGGTTAGTTAGTCAATTGGGCTTTATGGCTATAAGCATTGTATTGGGCTCAATATAAAGTAGGGTTATCAATTCAATGGAAATGAAATTCACTTTAAACAATCTTTTTCTATTCATTTCTCTCTACCACTTTTACAATCATTTTCACTTAAATGAAAATGAAAATTAATTATTGGACCATTTTTGTTAAGAAAAAATTTAGAATGTTTCAAAGTGTTTTTTATACATGTTTGTTGAACATTTACAAAATCAGTTCTCATCCTACTTGAATCGATGACATGATATGATCTGAATGAAACTCAATTTTAAATTTATCTAAATTTAAATTAATCTTATATTTAATTAATTCAAACTTGAATCGTATTAAACTAAAATAATATTGACTCAACCTGAAATTAACTCGATCTGGTTTAATGTATTTTCAATTTCCCAGCACCAAACTGTATTGTTTACCGGTTGGTGAATTTACGATTGAGGTTGAATGACTGATCCGCATGTGCTTGTTTCTTATGAAATTCAACCTTAAACAAAATATTAATAAGGGTAAATAGCATGTTTAGTACGTTAACTATCATTTTTTTATGTTTTGATTACCTAATTATTTTTTCTAAAATCATATTTAATGTTTAGTTTTGATTTTATTTTAATCAATCACTGTTAAAAAAGTAAAAATAATAGTAACATGTAATCATAAGATAAATCACGTCATCATTAAAAAATATAAAAAATATATATCACATTAATAGTTTTATTAATCTTTTAATAGTGGACGAACAAAATAAAATCAAAAATTAATATTAGATATAATTTAAAAGAATAGTTAGATGATCCAAACATGATAAAAATAATAGTTGAGTATTAAACGTGTACTAATAATTCAATATCAAGCATTGAATTTGAGGTGCTTTAGGCTGTTATTACCTAATTATCACATGACGTCCCTTCAACAATCCTTCGCCCTTTGCAGCTACATATGAGTTTTAAGTATGATTATTATTGTTTATTTAACCATTCCTTATCAAACTGTAATTATCAAACCACAATTACTTGTTCGCTAAAATACATCACCTTTCACTCAACTTTACTCTATGTGATATTTTACTTATTGTATCTTTAATTTTTTAATTTACTTATTAAATTTTCAAATTTTTTCTGATTTGATTATTTTAAATTATTTTATTATTATTTTCGTATGATATAATATCTTTTATTATTTAATATAAAACTAATTTAAAATATAAAATAATAGAAGGTAGTCGGGCCTCATCGTTGGTCACTGTAGATGGTAGTCGTTCGATCTCAAATTTCATGGATCGGTTCACGTCAACCCTTGAGTCCGAATCTGATGATTGTTTCACCTGAGAATGTCCAAAACCTATGAATATCGATTGAAATATTTCAACTTCCTCATTTTCGATCTCAAATTCATGAACTTCGGAGCAACTTATGATAAAATAAAGGTTGGATTCGAACTCAGGGTGTTGAGGAAGCGACCCATGAAATTTGAGACCGAATGACCACCATCTACGGCGGTTGTCCGCGACCGGCATTGACATCTAGCCACCTTCTATTTGTATTTTACATTTTAAATTATTTTTATGTTAAATAAAAAAATACCACGTCGTATGAAAATAATAAAAAAATAATTTAGAGTGATAAAAGAATGAACAATTCAAAAATTTAGTGAGTATATTAGAAAAATCAAAAGTAATGTGGGTAAATAGGAGAGAGTAAAGTTCAATGAGAAACGATGTAATTTACTGTTACTTGTTTTGTTTTGTTCTACATCTTTACGAACGACTAATTTCTCTGGTAGATTTCCAATGGTTACTCCATAAAAATTAGGGGTGTGAAAAAATATCCGACCCAGTTGACCTGACCCGCAGATCCGGATCTAAAAACAGGGTGATTTTTTATAAAAAAAATACCCGGTCGGGTCTGGTACCCGGCTCGACACTTTCGGTCGGGCCCGGGTCACAAAAATTGATTTTCCGGGTACCCGAGTACCAGATTAAGTTTATATATATATATATATAATTTATAAAATGTTATAATCAATCTTCTTCTTGTATTGTATTCGATTTAAATAAATTAAGTAGAGTTCATTCCTAGCCTATTTAAAAAAGTTAAGTCAAAATAGGTTGCATGCTCATGTCTATTGATTGTGGTTATTTGGATTAGCTTTTCCTGCCTTGATTATTATATAATCACTTGATGCTCTGGTAAGATGGCTTTTCCTGACATTAACGGTGAATTGTTTGTTGTCTGATGATGATTTTGTTGATATTTGAGAAATGAATCTTCTTTCTTTGATATGGATTATTAAAGTATAAACAATTATATCAGTTAATATCGACACAAAACCGTTTGTGGTAGTAATCTCTGCTACTGCAACTACCAGACTGAAATTAAATATAAATTTTTAGTTATGAACTTTTATGTTTTATTTATATTATGGATTATTAGATTTTGTATTTCAAATTTTTAAATTTTTTGTTTGGATGTTAGATTATGTAATTCGAAGTTTCAAACATTTAAATTTATTTGTATGTTTTTTTATTTAATAATTTGAAGAAAAAAAATCGAGTATTTAGGTACCCGCAAAATCTGGGTACCTGAAACATCCGGGTCGAGACACGAGCCGAGAAATCACTGACCCGGATATTCCGGGTACCCGGTAATTGAGTACCGAAAATTCAGGTACCTGGATTTGCACATCCCTACTTAAAACCCGATTCTATCAAAAACCCTAATTTCCAGGATTTTGTCAACTTTGCCAACCGTAGATCAATCTCTCCTGGTAATATTTCATTCCTTTTTTTAAAAAAAAAATCGTTATATCGCATCAATTGGGTATCTTTAAATCAACTTCATGCTCTGTTACAGAAACAAATCAAATTTAGAAAAACTTAAAAACTTTGTTGTGTCTGCTGTAGAATTATTGTTACGAGTATTTCTGATTTTATGTATGCATAATATCCTTTCTGTGGTTTTAATGAAATTTAACGAAAGTAATATTTAGATTGTAAAGGATGGGATTTTGCAAGTAATTAACGTGAACTTTGAACGTTGTTTGGGAAACACAATAATCAATTTAATTAGGTTCCAAACTAATTCCTTTAGTTTTATGATATCTTGATTAGCTTCTTTTCCCTTTTTGTCTTTTGATGTGTGTGTGCGTGTTTTTTTTTTGGGGGGTGTTGCTAGAAAATTGTTATTTAACATTTAAACTAATTGATTTGAACTGCAAAATATGATTTCCAATATATATTTGCAGGTAGATTATGACTTGTTAGTGTTGGATGAAAGTGATCTAACTTGAGAAAACATTCATTTCAGGTGTTTTCTATGAGGTGAGAGACAAGTTGGATGATGGCAGACTTACAAGGTTATCCAAGCACCTGCTTGCACACCGGGGAACTTGCACTGTTGGCAATTCTAGTTTCAGGAGGAATTGTATTGCAAATCTTGGTCAGTAATGCTTTTCTCTGTTTATTGTCTACCTCTGTCATTTTTCATCTAAAATGTTTTCATACTACTCCTTTGATCTAATTCTTTGTTTATGATGTTTTAGGCATGTGCTCTGTACAATAATTGGTGGCCAATGCTGACTGGTTAGTGATCACCTAGTTTGATCTTAATCTTCTGTTACAATAATTTACTTATTCTCCAATGATTTTGTTGGTTTTTCTTTTTCTTCAAGTTAAAGAGTTTGAGTTTTAGATTTTTAGCTCACATTTTTGCCTATAATCTACCTTTGAAACCGATGGTTACCATGTCAAGAAGACGATTGTAATTGAGTGTTTGCTAAGTCTGTCAGTACTAGGAAGAAAAGCTTAATTGTTTGCTACGGCAAACTCTCCTTTAAGTTGCAGTCTTACTCGTATTGCTGTACGTGCTGGTCATTTTCAGCAATTTTTTCTTGATTTTCAGAAAAAAAAACAAACTACAGAGTAATGTATCTTAGGGTTCAACTGAACTTCTCATCTATAGACATGCATTATGCATGCTGGAAACGAATCACCCCCATGTTTCTTTGGATTAATTCCTTTCTTGTAGTGCGTCTTTACCCTGCAGTTTATTACATTATTTGAGATTGCGTTGGTTGCTGTGTAAATGTGCTTAGAGGTTATTGTTGCTATTAGTTATCTACAAAATAATGCATCTTATAATTAACGGAAGGAAATGACCATCCAGCTCAGTTGGTAGAACACAAGGTTCTTAACCTTGAGGTCGTGGGATCGAGTCCCATGGAGGGCATTTCATAATTTGGAGGTCTCCTACGGAAGCTGCTCTCAACCTAGTATTGGGGGCAGCCTACATCTTACTCCCCTTCGGCTTTACCCCATTACATATGGGAACAAGAAACATCCATCCATTTTAAATTAACTGAAGCTGTCATCCAGGGGCATACATTATGCATGCAGAAGTGAATAATCTACATGATCCTCGTGTTAATTTCTTCTTGTTGTACGGATTTAGTCGCAATTGTTACATTTTTCGAAAGTTTGTTTGCTTGCTGTGTAAATGTTCTTGAAGTTAATATTTTTTAATGGGCATGAAATTTTTGCCGTGTGTGAGCGGGTGCTGAGATTTTCTGGCAGCTCTATTTGTGTAATTAAGCAAGAAACTTCATTTGGTTATCCTTTAACATATTACTCCATTTAAGCACCCTGATATAATCATTTCTGTTGCAGTAATAATGTATGTGCTTTCCAATGCCTTTGCTGTTCTTTACGGGCTCTTATGCTTCTCTTTTATCTGAATCCGAACGGGTAACCTTTTGTTGCCCTAAACTTCATATATAAGATTTTGATAATCTTCAGTTTAAGCTCGAGATTTGTAACACTCACGTTCGTCTTCCTAATAACGGTCAATTTAACAGTTGGGTCAATACAACGAAATTTGCCGGAGCTTCGGCAATTGGAAGCATTGCTATACCGGCTATCCTAAAACATGCTGGAATTATCGGTTGGGGCGCACTGGCAATGGAACTCTCATCTTATTTCATATTTGTTCTAGCCATAATGTGTTGTATTCGAATGATGACGATGATATTACAGATTCCTCTGAATCATCATAATTCAGTTCCCGCGGCGATCATGCAAAGCTCAAGGCTCTTTCTTTCTGTTTTGATGAGCCTCATTCCCATTGCTTATGTAGATATTGTGTGTTTTATTTTCTTTCTTTTTTCTTGTGCCCATGTATTGTTGTGTTGGAACTTTGAATCTCTTTTATGTGGAGATTGAACCTTGAATCTGGTATTTGCCTCAAAATAAGAACATCCAAATGCTAACGAAGTGGAATTGAAGTTAATAAATCCAAACCTTACCAACTAATCTATAATTTTAAATCGATTTCAAGCTGTCATGACAATTTGGGTACTTTTTCCTCTAAATTTCCTTTTCTCTTAAATTCTGATAAAAAAGTAACAAGATCAAAATTCATGAGAATAACAATTTCCATTA